TTTCTTTCTGTGATGTATTGTTGTACTTATTTGCTTGCTGAATCGTTCCAGTGGGGGAATCATTCCTCTTTGTATTTTGGGAGTTTATTCCTCAGTCTCTTGACCCACTCTCACTTCTTTGGTTTCTGAGCAATGTCTTTTTTTTTCTGTTTAACTTTCAGGTACTATGGAACACACTCTCATTAGATCTGATAAGTAGATTGCTTTGAATCTCATGAGTATTTTACAGTCTCAATTGTCCTAATTGCTTTCCTACTTCTATTTTTTTCTTAACTTATGAAACTGTAGAAATGTAATTCATCTGTTTTTGAATTTGTGTTCTTCAACATTCATAAAGATTTCATTATTTGTTTGAGTGTGGTAAAGAGACTGGGTAGATAAGATCATGTAACCTGAAGACAAAACTTTCTTACTTCTTTCTGATTCAGGGATTTTTACATCACTGGTCAGCCTAACTGTTCTGACTAGTCCTCCTAATTTTGTGGTGTATAGAACTGGTGACAACCTGAGCCTTTTCCTGTTCCTGATTTTAGAAGGAAACATTTCGAATTTTCTCAACTGAGAATCAGGTTAGTCAGAGTTAGTTTATTTACTCTTTTTTCCTTCTCAGACAAGCATAATAGGCATGACTTTCTCATATGTCCAATTTGGTTAGTTCACTATTTTAATTTTTATTTTTCTGTTTCATTTAACTGCTAATTTTAAATGGAAGTTAGAGGGTTATTTGTTTCTTGAGTCTCTTTGAAGTGCTCTTCCTATATTTGTAGTGCTGCCTTTATTTCCTTTAGCTTTATAATTCATCTTTTCATGCCTATTTCTTTCTAGTTATCTGCGTGTTCTTTCAAATTCCATTTCACTCCTTTAGTATGTTTTATGCCAAGTAATTTTTATGTCAATTTTTAAGTAGTTCTGAAGTTTTCTTAATTTTTGATAAAATTACATTTGATCCTTTTTGTGTAGCTTTTCTTGTTTACATAAATTGAGCAAATTTTGTGTATTTCACAAAGCAGATTCAGCATAGTGATACTTTCTGCCCTACCCTTTCTCTGTCTACATTCCCCACCCAACTCTTCCTTCTGCTTTTCTTTCTTAACCTTTATGATGGCATACTTTCATTTCACTGCCTAATCACAGGGCTGAACACTCCATTGGGTAAAAATATCAACACATCGCAAAAAATAAATTAATAAAAACCTATTGTTCATCAAGAATATAGGAAAAATCTTTAAGCAATCAACTCTTAAAATGTCAATCATATGTAGATTTTTTTTGATACTCTGTGTATTAACACAGATTAGGAGAAAATGTGATATCTGTCTTTTTGTAAATGGCTTATTTCACTAAGCATAATGATTTCTAGCGCATCAATTTTGAGGTATAAGATTTCATTCTTTTTTATGGATGAGTAATATTCCACTGTGTGTATATAGCATATTTTGCTTTTCCCATCATCTAGTAATGGATATGTGGGTTGATTTCGTATCTCAGCTAATTCTAAATTGAGCTATAACAATAAACACGGGTGTACACGTAACTCTCACTTATGCTGCTTTCTTTTCATTTGGGTGAATTCCCAGGAATGAGACAAGTGCTTTCTTTATGATCCACCGTTACCTTGTTTTGTTATCTTGTGATCTTAATTGACTTTAAAAGCAGCCAAATACTTCTTCCTTTTTTCATAGATAAAGATCAGTCTATGACAATGTTGAACTGGAGTTGAAATGTAGCTGACAGGAGATAGAATGGAGTCATAAGGTGACTTCAGGGTCCACAGCCAGACCTAGTTATATAAACCTTTCTCTGGTGGCATCAGTAGATTTACATTTTATCGTGTTCCAGGATGGGCAGAAATCTCCCACGTTTATGACTGAGTGAGGTAGAATCCCAAACACAGGACTGCTTTTGGATCTTTAGATGGATCTAGGCTGACAGCTTTGCCTATACAGACGTCTGTGGGTGTGTCTTGTTCTGTGTCCTTGGGAAGGCAGACTGATGCAGCTAATAAAAACATTGCAGGAGCTTGGCTTTTCTTTGGTCTCTTGGTGGATGATTCCGACACCATAATCAAGGCCGGAGGCTAGCCCCCAATACCAGGAAGAGCAGTTGTATTCTGACCAGACCGCTTGTTATCTGTGTGATCTGCTAATCTTTCTTTGCCACAGTTTGCTTACTTGTATAGTGATACTAATGCTTCACACTGGTTTTATATTGCACATATTGGTGTCTGTTTAATTCCAACTCTTTGCTATCATGTTCACTAGTAGTTCATTACTATTCTCTTCTCTCCAGCAAAGAAGTATGATAAGGTCAAATATTTGAGTTGAGCTCTTGCTCTTGGTGAGATGATCCAGTTCATGAATGCTGTTGTTTGTATGTGGCTACAGATCTTCATTATGGGGTACATGAGTAGCATGCCCTTTATTGTAACATAGTGTACACAATCACTACTCAAGGTTATATCTGGTTATTATGTTTACTGAACATTGTGCAATGTTTTATCATGGGATGCCCTGTGCCTATGTATAGCTCTACGGCTGAAAGTTCAACCATGATTTTATGTAACCTTTTAGAAGTATCATCATTTGCAATGTGGTACTCACAATATCTTCTGGGTTTTCTTGTTTATTTTTGTTTTTCCCAATGTTTCTCTTTAAGGCTCCCATCTATATCTTTTTAATTTTTGTGGTAACTCCAAGATGCTCAATTAATGGCATGGATCTTGTTCTTTCTGTTCTCATCTCCAGGCCATGTTGTATGGGATATATTAGGAGTTAATACTTACTATTTAGAAGCTCAGTGTAATTTACTGAGTTAATTACAGATAAAAAAGTATTAAGCATCTAGTACATTTTAGGCATATTTTAGGTTTAAATACATAAAAAAGAAAAAATAAAAACAAAATTTGAAACCCAGAGGATGTTTTGGAAACATAGGTAGAAACGAGCAGTTCTAGATTGTTGCATGTTCTACATATCACACCTGATTGTATGGACCTCTGTGATTTTCAAAAATATTTATTCTCAGATTATAACTACATATGATTCTATTTACTGATATGCCTACACAGTGAAAATTTAGTGTAACATGATGTAAATATTTCTTGAATCTATCCAAAGAAAAATATCCAGTAACTATGGATGCCATTTACTTTCTGTTTTACTCTTGCCTAATTTGAAGTGTTTAATCACATTCGTAGGTATGCAAAAATGGATCTCCAATTGTTTTAGAATAACTGGCAATGATTTGATATGTAATGAGTGCTATTGAGACACAATGTCAGATATTTGAGGAATCCAGTATAAAAGGAAAGTGCAGGGCTCAGCCTGATAAATCAGTTGGCTAATCGGTTTGTGTCTTGGCTGCTCCATTTCTCATCCAACTACCTACTTGTAGCCTGGGAAAGCAGTGCGGCATAGCCCAAAGACCGGGGACCTCCCTCTCTGGTGGGAGATCCAGAAGCTGCTCTTGGCTTTGAATTGGCTCGGCTTTGGCTATTGCAGCCACTTGAGGAGTGAATCAGCGGATGGAGGATCTTGGCCTCTCCTTCTTGTTGCAAAATCAGCCTTGCCAATAAAAATTAGGTAAATCTTAATAAAAAAAATTTAAAAATACAGATCCTCAACTACTGCCAGGAAGTCCAAGGTAACACATCAAATCATAGAATCAGACGGACACCAGGGTGTGATTAATTCCTCACAGGCCTGTTCTCCGCATCTGGATTGGGAGTCTGTGGGGAGGCTATCATCATGGAACTGGGTGCTCCTGTAGGGATGGCTGCCTGCTTGCCCTTCTCCAGAGGTCAGATGGCCCTCAGCCGAGATTGGTCTTACCTGCTCACACTTCACACTGTCTTTTAAGCTTTTATTTGCAGGACACAAACACAAATATAAAATTATTAAGAATTTTAATTATGGTCATTGAACACTTCAGTCCCCGATGGGTAGTTTTGGGCTCTGATTTCTATCTATCTTCAGTAGTCATATTGTAAAGAAGTCCACTATGATTAGAGGAGTGAATGGAAAATAAGCTATGTATACACACACACACACACAAACACATACATACTTTGAAAGAAGTATAATGCTTTTCACACTTGCTTCAAATACTGTTTGTGAAGTTTAGATCTTAATACTTCTTTTTATTTCAAAAAATATAAAAGTGAAGCATGTGCTTCATTTTAAAAGAAAGTGTAATTCCAACATTTCAGTACCAAGTGGCCACCTACTGATTGAGACATAGGTTACAGAAGATAGATTAGAAACTTTCCAAAAATTAGTGGACTAAGGACATTGGTAATATCAACATGTCTGACAGAGGGCAAGTGTTTGCGTTAGTGATTGAGACTCCGGTTTAAGATACGTGTGTCCTATAGCGTAGGGCTTGGGTTTAATATGTGGCTTTGGTTTCTGACTCCAGCCTCCTGCTCAAGCAGACACTGGGAGCCAATGTTGATGGCTCCTGTAAATGGGTCCCTCTAATTCTCCTGGGAGACTGGGATTGAGTTTCCAAGTCTAAAATTCAATGCTAGTTAAGTAATTATGAATTAAACCAATGGATTTGTCACTGTGCTTCCAAAATTAAAATATATATAATTTTCATGTACTGTAGGTCAAGTAATTAGTTTGATCAAATGCTGAAGGAAAATAAAATATATTTTGGAAAAAAGGGAAATGCTAAATTGAACCCTCAGATTGCAGTATGCTGAACATTCAACTGAAAATTCAGAAATTCTAGGGAATGGTTGTGTAGAATACACAAAAAACTTAAATCTCTACCCAAAAATTAAAAAAAGAAGTAAAGCACAAGAAAATGTCAGTACTAAACTTGAGTAATTTACAAAAATATCAATTTTTCCAAAAAATATTTACTTGAAAGGTAGAATGAGAGAGATTAGGAAACAGAAAGAAAAAAAATCCCCTAACCATTGTCCACTCACAAATGCCCACAGCAGGCAGAACTGAGAAAGATCAGAACACACAGGGACATAAACACAAATAGCTGTGGAAAGTAGATGTTTTAATATCTTTTCCAGATGTTTAATGTGATCAATTCAAAATTAGAGCTGGCAAGCAACTTCCACGATGGACAAGTCAGAGATCACTGAGTGATTTTGCACTCCTCCGATGTGCTGCAGCGTCCCACGCATCTTCATTTATTCCCTGGAAAAGAATCAAACAAGACTCAAATAAGATACCGAAGAGTCTCCCCAGATGCAGCAATTTCTGCCAGAATTAATAAATATAGGATCCTTTACTGAATCTCCAAATCAGAAATTTAGGTTTCTGAGTAATTAAAGCTGCACAAATTCTAAGAAAGATTTATCCACTATTCTTAAGAAAATAAAGAGTCTCAATGAATATACACTGTGTTAGATTTAGAAAAAAATAGGTTTTGAACATAATGACATTAGAGTGTTGTAGTGATACTTCCCTCTATATCATAAACCTGTTGCAAAATATGTGCAAATTTTTCAACTTACATAAATATTAAAAACAAATATTATGCATAAGTAGATGAACTAAGATGAAATAAATTTATGAAATGGTAAAGAAAGAAATCTATTCAGCATTGTGAAAATAATATTGTGCTCCAAATCCATTTTTCTATTAAGAAAAATAAGCAACAATGAGTTTAATTTCTAATTCCCTTTAAATCTAGCCTTTTAAAAAATAAGTTAATTTCATATATTTGAATACCTTCATCATTCTGCAGATATGTTTAAATAAAACAATAGCTATTTTCAACAGAGCTTTAAGGCTTTCTAGTTTCCTGATATTATCTTGAAGTCTTGAAGGATCATTTAATTAATTAATTTGTTCATTTATTAAAATTTATTTATTTCTATTGGAAAGGTAGATGCATATAGAAAGAAAGACAGAGAAAAAGATTTTTCGTTGCTGGTTCACTCCCCAAGTGGCTACGACCGATCCAAAGCCAGGAGCCTACTGGTAGCTTCTTCTGGGTCTCTCACATGCACCCATATGGGATTCCGTCATGTTCAAGGCGAGCATTTAGCCACTGAGCCATCACACACTTGGATCATTTTAAACTTGAAACTTGATTCTCAGATTCAGCTTACTTTCAATTTCTCTTTCAAATTCTATTTTTCCCTTTAGTATTTTATATCTCCTAATATACTCTGCATTTCTTGCCCCTATTCAGCATCAAAACAAAGCTACTGCTGTAAATAACTAAATCTGGTGTGTGTGTGTGTGTGTGTGTGTGTGTGTGTGTGTTTCAAATTCAGAGAACGGGAGAAAGAACGAGAAAGAGAGCAGTTTTTGTGTGTTCCAAATTCGGGGGGTGGGGGGAGAGGGAGAGAGAGGGAGAGAATCTCCCCCATTAATTGGTCCATTTCCTAAATGATTACAGCACATGGTGGCGGGGACCCAGTTAATTGAGCCATCAGTTGCTGCCTAGCGGTGTGTGATTAGCAGAAAGTTCATTCATGAGGGAAGTCTGGAAGTCTGGATAGAATCCAGATGCTTCTGTGTGAAATACAGGCATTTCCACGGTTCTTTTTTTTTTTTAAGACTATGCCAAAGACATGTCTTGTACATGACTTTATTTCATTTTTCATTGCAGATTAAATATCATGGTCTTAGAATTAGGTGCCCATCACCCATCACACATAAACTATATTCTCTACCTAATTTGCTTTTTTTTTTGCTAGTTTAATCTTGCTACTTAGTTTGTCTTTTATGTATACAAGTAATTTCTAACATAAACTTCCATGTTTGCTATGTTCAGCTATCCCATTATACCATTAGGTTCATGAATTTAGGACAATTACTTTTCCTGGAAGGAAATTGCCTTTGCCTCTAAAATCAATTAGATTAATCGGCATTTAGCTTCCTTTTCTATTTCTGTACCCATGATATAAGCAATGATGTATGAGAGGCTAAAACAAAAATTATGAAATTAGTTGTTAACTCATAGATAACGGAAGAATCTGTCTCCTTCAACCTTTAGCAGAATCTGAAATACAAGTGGTAAATAGTATAGTAATAGTGTGATAACTGGTTTAATATAGGAAAGCAAGCACACAGAACCTGTGAAAATAATACATGAATGTTTTAAAAAAGAATTGGTAAAGCCACATACTGTGCCTTAATGCACCTAAAACACGTTGTTCATATACTCATGGCAGAGAGCCTAATGTTAGAATGGGAGTGAGAACTTTCACATGGCTATGATATTTTTTCAAATATTATTTATTTTTACCTGAAAGGTAAGCTTACAAAGAGGAGGAGAGATGAGAGAGAGAGGAAAGGGGGAGAGAGAGAGAGAGAGAAAATCTTCCTTCTGGTTCACTTTCCAGTGGCAGCAACTGCTGAAACTGGGCCAACCCAAAGCCAGGAGCCAGGAGCTTATTCTGAGTCTTCCACATGGGTGCAGGTTTCCAAGGGTTGAGCCATCCTCTGCTGCTTTCTCAGGCTAAAAGTAAGGAGCTGGTTTGAATATGAAGCAGCCAGTACTCTAACTGGCACCCATATGTGATGTGAGGTAGAGAATTAGTTTGCTATGCCACTGTGCTGGCCTTACATGGTTATAACATTAATCACCCTGACTTGCTTCACTACAGTTAAATGATTCAGGAAGTCACTCCTTTCCACTGAAGGCTGTTTATCCTCAAGTGATTACAGTTTTTGGGTACTTACAGTTCAACAGAATGAAAATTAACCTACATCTATTGTTACCTCTTCCTCCTAACTGTACAGGATTCTCCTTTATTTCTGCCTAGGAGTACCAGCAGATATAGATCTGCCCCAGACCAAGTCCTGCAGCTAAGAGCTGGCTGCAGCCTTTCTTTACCCTGCTGTTGAGTCTTGGCTATCTCAGGCTGCTGCTTCTCGGAGCTGTAGGCCACTCTCCAAACCCAAAACTCATCAGGCATGAGGCTCTGCACATTTATCTTTTTGTATAATTTACATGTGCATGTGTTATATTAATAAATATGTATGACAATGTAAGATACAGTTATATAATTATCCATCTTTGTATATATTTATACATCAGATACATATTTATAAATTCATTTTATGTTGGGTCTTCAAAATGATCATAGAAAATTATTATAAAAATGCACAAATTTCAGAAATTTCAAAAATTCAACTTTCAAAAAATTATGCCGGGAAGATAATTAGAAGATGTGAAGGCACAATTCAAACTAGAGAAGACATAAGCTAGTCAAAGACAAAAATGAGCTGCTTTGAAAAGTATAATGATACATACTTCTTCAGATGCTCAAGCAACACTCAAAGAAGCATTTTAGAGATGACTCATGGGCATACTTTCTCAAGCATTAATGGGAGGCTGGCTGGGGCTTCTCTCTTTATCTCCCCCATTACGCCAGATATGGAAAAAAAAGAAAATGTGGAAATAATAGTCTTACCCACTTTGCTGAGGCCCTTGAACCTTTGTTCCCTAATTAACCATGTAAAGATTGTCAAAAATAAGGGGAAAAAAGCATCAAATGTTTTAGTGTTTCTATTGGAACAATAAAAATAGATCCTGTCCTTTTGGGCTAATTAGTAACAATGCAATTTAAAGCAGCATAAGTTAAAATCAACTGCCTGGTGGCACTGCATTGATCTGTACAACAACAATGAAAACATAGTAGAACTGAAAAGCAGGAGTGGTGGTATCCTGTCACGTCATGTCATCTAAGACATCCAGCTCTCTGAATTCTGGCAAATGGTGAATACTGTTTCACAGGCCTCAGTGAAGCATAAAATAATACATAACTTGTGTGAATTTGCCACAGATATCACCTGAGATGAAGGAATTAAAATAAGTTCTCCATACTAATGATTAATAATATTCTCCAGCTGCTCCTACATAAAAATTTTCTTGGTATACCATAGTGATTGATTGGCAGTTCATGCTAAAATCACATATACATATAGAATGAATTGGTTGAGATTTTTAGTTTTCTATTTATTATTTTTCAAACAAAATTAGGAAGGACATTTTAGCTTCATTCTTTTGTGAAATCTGTAAGATTTTGTTTTCCATTTTTGTCTAAATGAAATCTGTAAGATTTACTATTTCTTTGGCATAAGTGAATGGCACATTAATCAATTCATTGGTGGGCATCCACATTGCCTAAAAGAATGCTTGTTATTACTCTCAACTTATTGACTTCCAATTCCTTTTTCCTACTAAGGAACACCTTGTGATATAATAAGAGATGACTGAAACAGTTTGACACCTGCTACCCAAATAGGATGAAATTCTGGGACAGTAGCTTTAGCCTTGTTCAGCAGTGGCTCCCAAAGGGATTTTACACATGCAGACATATAAAATCTAGGATTTTACCCTAGAGATTCAAGAGTAGTTCAATACTAGCAAATCAATAGATGCTATATATAACATAAACAGAATGCAGATCAAACATCATATGTTTATCTCATTGGATGCAGAAAAGTATTTAATAAATTTCAGTATCCTTTCTGGATTAAGAAAAGCTTCCACAAATTAGAGACATATCTCAAAATGATAAATGTAATATGTAAGATAAGATAATGTTATATTAGAATAAATGGAGAATATTTGAAAGAACTTTCCTTCACATACGGAAAAAGACCAGGATATATACTACCACCATTCATTTTCAATATAGTACTGAAAAAAAAATAGCACAAGAAAGTAGGAAGGAGAAAGAAATGAAAGGAAATAGAAATTTGGAGAGAAGAATTGAAAATATCCTTGCTTGAAGATGGCATAATCTTGCATATAGAAAAACACAAATCTCCCACCCAAAAGCTTGTTAGAAATGATGAGCAAATTCAGTCAAGATTTTATGTTAGTAATAAATTAACTAAAAGACAAATCTAGAAACAATTCCTATTTTAAAAGGCCACAAAAACAATGTAATATTAAACACTTAAGGTAGAATTTCATCAAAACCAGAAACAGCTATACAACATAATTATCTGATTATTATGAAAGAAACCATTTTTTTGGATACAAAAAATATGGAAAGATATTTTTTGCCCAAGAATTTGAAGAATGTCATTAAAATGTCTATAGCACTAAACAATTTACACATTTGATAAAATCCCTACCAAAATGTCAATGACATTTTCAATAAATAAGAAAAATATTCTAAAATTAATAAGGAATCACAAAGAACTCAGATGTAAGGGAGGGAATA